TTCTCTTTAAAACTTCTGGTCTTCTTGAATCGAATGTGTTTTTAATAATTATACAAATTATCTCGTTTACATACATTGTTACAATATAAAATTGTTATTACCAGTGCTTGAAGTGGGTGAGATGAGGCTGGATGCCAACACACTTCTTTTCATGAGGGCCTGAAACCATCCCACTACCTTTTAGTAGACTGAACTTTTCAGAAGGGAAAGGTTCAATGGACAATGCAATAAATATTTATGGGAAGAAGAGACTGGGGAGAGAAACTTTTTTTTCTTAAAATGACATGTAAGAGTAAGGCAGGAATCAGACAGATGGTGCGAATGAACCCCTCTCGCTATGGGCTTGGTTCATGTGTCTGAGTTCTAAACCACAAAGTAATCATCAGCAGAGGTTCCATACCATATCTCAAAAACTATATATCTGTTTATACTTAAATTTATTGTTTTATTGTCCTTTGAACCATGTCTAACCAATCATCCAGCCACACAAGTTGTAGATCATTCAGCAAATGTGCAGCTCACTTTACTGTATTGAATTATGTAAAGCATGAGCTGTTTACCAGTATACCTCATGAACAATTTTTAATATATATTTTTTGTTATCCTATCTTGTTTAACCTAATAAGTTTCTAATTTTTAGATTTTAGTTACTTTAATAAAACAAAATACGTATGAAAAACAAGAAATATAATACTCAATTTCAAACTTTTAAAAACACAGGCATCAATGATAAAATAATTTATGTAACATTTTAGTGTACCTAGGTTATAGTCTCTCACTTACCTATAAAAATAGCAATGATCTAGAAAATAAACTGAACAGACGAAAAATCATTTTGTGAATTTTTTTTATCATATTGGAAATTAATAATATGATCCTTAGCCATTTCTCCAAACAGCTAATGGTGTGCAAATTTAATTTTCGTTTGCAATACAAAGCAACATATTTTATAAAATGTTCAATTGAGCTTTTGCTTTTTTAACTGTACTATAAATATTTTTATCATTATAAATTTACTAATTCCATTAAAACTGATTGGTGATATTCAGTAAAAAGAAAATGGCATGCAATAAGTAAAATCATGAACACAAGTTTTAAATTTGATTAAATGTTATCCAATTAATTGTTCTCTTCAATTACTGCATATTGTGCTATTCTTAATTTTCACAAGCATCTACCATTTATTTGTTTTTCTAAGTTTCTAGTACGTTAATACAATTCTGAAGTTTGGGTGGATAACAGAACTTGTGTGAGTAGTTGAGAGTGTAGAATGATGTGCTGTACAGCTGCTATAATTATAAGCATGATGCATAATTTGTGATACAGCTATAGTAGTCCAAAAGTCTCTAGGCTGTGGCATAGCCAGCATCAAATGTATGTGGATGCATACATGTGAAGCCTTGGTAGGGGGTCTGTGATATATTGAAATAAAATTTGAATGAGTGAATGGGAAGACATTGCTTATATATTTCTTTATATTTCATGTTTATACATTAAATAAATATTTTACATTTTTAAAACAAAATTGTGAAAATGATGTGGATACTTGAGCATACATGGTAGCTACATCACTACTAAAGTATAAAATATTTCTGACATTACATGGCACAAAGATCAGTGACCACAAGAGTGTTTTGCAAACTACTGCTAACATGTGAAACTAGTTTTCCAGGCAGTATTTAGTTGAGACATAAGGAGGTGGTCTTAACACTTATACTCTGTGTGTGTGTGCTGCTCATAAGAAAAGCTGAGCAAAGTCTGTGATATTGTCGTAGGTTCTCCTTTGCAGAGAGTTGCTAGACAACTTATAGTGGTAATTAGTATGTGCTAGTGTGATACCACATATCTCACTATAGTGTATATATATATATATATTTTGCTCTAAAGTTCTAATTCAGAATGTAAAAAAATACCTAATAAAAGTCACATGTCAATTCAGGTGTTACTCTTTGTAGCATTGTCTAGTCATGGAATCTATCTACTGCTACATGGGATAGTTGTATTATGTTATACATTCACCTTGTATATGTGATACTGCTCTTCAACCATCTCATGGAGTAGAGATATTTACAGACATTTGTATTGTTACTGTTTACTTGAATTTCACTTAACACCATTCAAGGGCTAGTTGTCCCTAATTAGTGAGGCAGCTAGTCAACTTTTTGGCTACTCTTTATCAACAAATAGTGGGATTGGCAGTGACATTATAATACCCCCATGGCTGAGAGAGCAAGCATGTTCAGTGATGGGTTCAAAACCTGCAGCTTATAAGTTAAGCACCATAACAACCAGGTCATGTCAGATCTGGATACTTGTGATCACATTTTCTTATTAGTTTGTGACAAAGAGAAAATGAACTGGTTTTGGCATTTTCAAACAGATTTGTTTTTGATCTAGAAAGAACTAGAACTCACTGTAAAGGTTTTGTCTTTGTTTCATTGTTTTGGGGTAATGTCCACTAATCATATGATATTCATACTTATTACAAGAAAAGTTTATTGTAATTAATCGATTATCAAATACAGTTGCCCTTTAATTATTCTTTTTTATTGAATCACAGTTTAATTTTTTTGTTTTAATTCAATCGCAATGCAAATTCTCTCATTATGCTGATCAGTCATTTATTTTTGTTTATTTTCTTCAGTCAATAAAGATTATTTTCGTTCAACTTCACCCTATGTCTTGTCTCTTTCATTTCACCCACAACAAATGACTGCATATGTCCTTCTGCATACTAGGTTCACAAGTCTCCAGCTATTGTGAAGTCAGGTAAATGTATGCTAGTTTAATACTTTTAATATCACACTGATCATGATCAGTTACTTCAAGTGGATTGAGGCAAATATATTGATTAACGTTTGATCAGTTACTTCACCAAGTGGATTGAGACACATTTATTGATTAACATTTGATCAGTTAGTTCACCAAGTTGATTGAGACACATTTATTGATTAACATTTGATCAGTTACTTCACCAAGTGGATAGAGGCACATTTATTGATTAACATTTGATCAGTTACTTCCCCAAGTTAATTGAGGCACATCTATTGATTAACATTTTAGTGTAATTGTTGCAAATAAGGTAGCTTAAAATTGGCTAGCTTGATCCTGAGCCCCTGGAGAAACCCATATGAAGCAAGAAGCCAGCTTCAACAGCCTTTTCAGACATATGTAAAGTGTTAGGTGGGGTGAAGATTCATACTTTGTATGTCATACCACTCAGTCTAATGGTTTGGTTGAATGAATTATCCAGACATATGTTTTCAAAGTTTAATACTCCTGGTAGTATTGATTAAGCTGAAGACACACCATGCAGTATTGTGCAACTGTACAATAGTAACCTGATTATTCACTGAACTTCCTGTTGTTCAGATATGAAATATATCATCTGTGTTTCTGATGAATGACTCATCATCCAGTTCAGGTTTGCTATGATATCCACAAAAGTATGATGATGCAAATGAATCTGCCCATCAGATAAGTACAACAGCCATACATCAAGAGATGTTATGACAATACAGTAAATGAACAAAAGTTAAAGCCTGGAGACTGTGTATGACTTTGAAATACACTTAGGGTCACAGATGATAGTTATGTATGAAAGGAACAAGTAGGAAGATATGTCTTTCCTTAAACTGATGTTGAGACAGACTCTTAACATGTATACATAGGATTTATGGGTGACCAAACAAAGTTGTGAAACATTAGCATGGTTTATCTATACAGGTTTCCTTGATTTTTGCCTAGTACAAACGTCTAGCTTCAGTAACTGTACTTCTGTTGACATCATACAACAGAAGCTGGGCAACTAGCATTGTGTATTCAGTAAGTTCACTATAGGAAATGATTGTGTTAGACTTTGTTGTTGTGTGAATCAATAAAAACTGTTTTTGTATGAAACAGCTGTATTCAATATTATTATTGCACTGTTTTATCAGAATTATTTACTCTGCAACACTTATCTCATTGTTCCTCCTGCTATTTCATAAGTTTTTAATTTGCCTGTCAGTGGCCAGTATTACAAGAGAATACCGTTAAATGGTTATATCATTACAATGATCATTAAAGACTGACCATTAATTGATATTGTAGTATAAAAATACATAATGATATTTCAATTATATTAATACTAAAAAGATATAAATCTTAGTATGGCATATGCTTTAATCCTTAAAAGTTATTCAAAATCCAGCAACAAATTGTTTAGAGAATTATATATTTAAATATAGATAAAACAAATATCTATGATACAGCCATAATCAATAAATTAGTATGAATAAAAACTACTTGGTTTTTGGACCTTAAAACTGATATACAGATATTCCAATACAGTACAAAAATATCTTGCAAGCTGTTACATGATTGCTATTTCTTTACGTCTTAAGTTTGAATGCTAATTAATAAAATCTTTTCTTAGCCATAAATTAATATTACATTAGTGAGCAATGGATTATGCCAATGTGAGGAATCACAAGGATCCAATAATTAAGTATTGATGGAAGTATGTGATAAAGCCATTCCTGGCAAAGGGGGGGGAGTTATAATTTAGAAACTATGGTTTTTTTCAAGTAGAATTGAAAACAAAAATAGCTATCAAATAATTTGAAAATTTTTCTTTTGTAACAAATGAAATTAATTTATTTGTGTTGCCTTCAGTCATTTTTAAAGATGGAGCTAATTGGGATAAAGTTCAAGGATATTGAATCATCTTGAGGATTTTCTCTTGTGATTTCAGCATGTAGTTGCTGGGGTTAATAGTAAACAGCATTAGCAATTAGAAATTGATGCATCCTTCCTGCAAAAGAAGATTTTGGATGAGCATACACAATCTAAGGTGCATATCTGCTTTAAGATGTAATTCATCTGGTGGATGGTGGATCAGTTACAACACATTGTTTCTTCTGGAAATATTACTTTGCATGATCAACCTGGAAACTGAACAAATCAAGCTTCCCTAATTTCTGCCAGTTATAAATATACATCCTATAAGGCAAGCCTAGTTAAAAAACAGATCCTATTTTTGGAACTTCAGAGCCATCAGTGCCTGTAACATTAACAGGAACTTCCTCTTTAAGAGAAATAGAAGATTCAGGGAAATTTTCAACTGGAAATGAATTGGTGAGACTATTTTCAGTAACCACTACTTGCTGTGGATCCTCAGTATTTACATATAGAGGTAAATTAACTCTCAGAATAGCCCTGCAGCCTTCTCCAATTAGATCAGCTTGTGAGGCATGAGGTGTCTCTGCCCTCTGATCAGTCATGTTTTCAGACACATTTGCAGCATTATCAGTTCCAGCTGAAGGGACAAGAGATTCTGTAGTGCTGTTCACCTGGTTATGATGTGTTCCAAAAACACTAATGTACGTTGGAGGAGAGAAAATGAACTTTAAAACATCTTCATATGATGGTGGAGGATCATAATGTGGTAGATCTGATGTCACACCCATAATATCACTCTGATCTATAACAATTAAAATATTAATATGCATATTCAGTATATGAAAAGCTGCTTCCTTCACATAATGCATATAATCTCATATAACCAAATCAGTCATGATCTTATCTCATTTAAGAATTAGTTCTGTAAATATGATCTATTTTTCTCTCTTATACTTTTAAACGTTTACATATGTAGGAATCTATAAAATGGTATATGATAAATCGAAAATACACAATAAAGAATGACAGGTAGCTTTTGTAAATTTCATGACTGATACACTGTATAATGCAAGTTTTGAGTCAAGTGACCAAAATACGAAACTGACAAGTTACTTTATTCTGCTACTTACCAATGTCTCCATTGTGAGTACAAAGACTATCCCTGGTAGAATCTTCATCTGATTGTTTCTTGTGAAGTCTTATAAGAATCGTGACAGTCATAAAAATAAATATTCCAAGTCCTGCTAAGCTGGTAATTAAAACAAGTTTGTTGGTACCTACAGTTGACAAGCTTGACTGTTTGGGGAAGTAATAGTTAGGTGTCAGAGTTTTCCACCAGTTTCTGTCAAGAGAATCATGTAAGCTCCCTTTTCCTAAATAAGAATTCAGATTTTCTGTTGTAGTTAATATATATATGACTTTCTTCTACATATTACTAGATAACAAGTAATTACAGTCTCTCATGAAGAGGAATGCTTCACAACTGACTGATCAAACCATCTAACAAGGTTCGTTTACAATATTATGCAAAAGCTAAGGAAGTAAGTATTGAAAAAAACAATGTTAAAAGTTAATTTTCAGACCTGAGTTATTTTTTTTAAATGGAGAAACCTATCACACAAGTGAATGTGTACCTTTGTAGTTAATGTATCAAAATTAAATAATATTCCCTACATACAGTTATGGAAAAGAGAGATCAGACTTGGCTTAACTCTGTGATGGGGAGTTGAGCTTCATCTGCTAAGTTAGCCTGGATAAAAATTCTTATGACAGGTGAACATTTCTCATCTGAACCATTACAACACCATTGAATTAACAGTGTTCTTATGCTTAAGGACAATGTGAGTTGTACATCAAACTACTGTGATTGTTTGACAACTAAACTAATTTTCTGCATGCATGTTTTAAGCTTGAGAAGAAAAAAGCATAAAATATTTTATGTCTGGGGTCACCAAATTGTGATGTTATTTTGTGACCAATACCAAAATTTCATAAAAAAATACTGAAAAGATTAAATAAGGGGGTAATAAGCAGGAATCCTGAGCCCTGTTAACTTTGTTGTAGAGCACAGTTAAAGTTTATACAAAAGAAGCAGACTGGTTCTCAGTTATAATTGATAACACTCTTAAAGAGCATTATGTAATGGAAAATTATCACATTATACACTAAGGAAATCTTTCCATATAATTCCCCAGTTCATTATCAACCTCAATTAATGTTTAGAATTTCAGTTTGATAAAATATTCAACCAAGAAATAAAAAATACTATTTTGCAACAGGTCTGTAAAATGTAGTCTTATAAACTTTATACAATACAATGACTTCAAAACAAAACATAATATTCTTTTATACAGGTTTTTCTTCTAACAGTTTGAAAAGAAAGAATACTTATGCATGAAAATAAAGAAATATTAATTCTGGAAGAAAATCTTGTGATTCTAAACTGAAAGAACAGTTAGAAATTCATTAGAATGCTTTACAGAGAATTTTTATATTAAGTACCTGTACACAAATGTTCATCAGAATTATCCCCACAGTGATTGAAAGCATCACACTGAAGTTTCCGTGCAATGCATCGCCAATTTTTACATTGGAACTCACCAGCTGAGTAGCATGCTGAAAGAGTAAATCAAGTATGAAACTAAAACATTTATATTGTTACGTCTCCGTTTGTTAATTAACTTTCCGTAACTTCGTTCCGACGAAACTTAAGCGACACAAGTCCTTTTTTAATAAAACTGATTTATTCTTTCCGAATATAACTTTACCGATACACTCAACTTCAACAATCGCGCTAAACAAACGCTATAACAACGAACGTCAATAATACTTCTGACTGCAGTTCAATTACTCACTATCTACACAGACACATTACATTAATCTCTCGCGTCACGTTGTCCCCTCTTATATATACCAAACTACCCTATATCTAGCAAATACTATAGCATTCGCCAAGATACGGGATAGTTCTAGAAACGTGGCGTCACCGTAGTCATGTGATCTCGATGACGCAACAATATTAATAAAATACAACATGTGATACAGAACAAAGAGATGCACTTTCAAAGCAACTTCATAATTTGAAGTTTGAGCTTTGCTTAATATTATTTTATAACATTCTAAGTACACCTGTCCTGAGTAATTAAGTAAGCTAATTCAATTTAAAGATTTATGGTATAGAGTCACACTACAGGACTGCTTCTTAGAGACATTAATATGAACCTATATGCCTAACTCACAAAACTTCATTAGAATAAATCTCCTGCATATAGGAGCAGATTGGCTCACTGGGATGGTGGCCAATTGTCCTGTGGGCCAGTGCATTTGACGCATTCTTAGAAACTGATACTAAGTTTTAATTGTTTAGCCAGTATGCAGCATGTGATATTACCTGACCTAATCCTTTAATGCTAGTCTGCCCCTGCTTGCATATTATGGTAAACATAAGAAAGAACATGGTTTATAAAAACCTTTACAACTGAAAGCAAGTATATGTTTGAATTATATGTCTTGTTTAAAGCTAACAGCCAATGGGAGATATATACGTGGTAATTATATGTCATTTATAACAATATTGCAACATTCTCTTTATAAGCACCAGTCAGTATCTATCCAATTTAAATAATCTGTGAAACTCTAATGCACAGATATCCTTAGGAAACCAGTCAGCATATTATCTCACTATACTGTATTCTAAAACCCTAATGCAGACAACAATTATCATGCCTAATTAAAATGATTCATGAAATCTTATTACATCATAAAGAATCCTTCTGTTGCTAGCCAATGTATGTTTTTATGCCTTATCATCTTATGTATTCATGTCTTGAAAAATTATATTGCAACAATGCCTCTAGACAGAGCTGATGAGAGAGGGGGGCAAGGAGGGCAGATGCTCTGGGGCTCAGGGTCTGTTGAGGGGCCAATGCATACTATTTAATGAGCTAAAATGGCTGGTGCTTTTTAATGGATTCATCAAAGAATTTGTCACCTAAATTGCTTTTATGAAAAATCAGCAAATAAATGGGGGGGTGGGGGCAATGATATTACTGACCCGGGGCCTGGGTTGGCTCTTAACACCCCCTGCCTCTAGAGACATGTACCAAGCAGAACATTTCTTTATTACATAGCTTATGAAATCCTATTGCAACATAAGACAACATATATTCCTACTACATATCTTGTCTTCATTAATACAGTGGCTCAGAAATCATTTTCATTGAAAATTTTGGCATTTATTTTGTCTTGTCAAAGGGTGTTCTAAAGTAATTGAACCCATCTGTGTAAACTTTGACGAAAAGGAGACAATTATTTATAGTTCAGGATGTGACTGTGATAACCCATGAAGTAATATGATGAATTATTCATTGACTTGTATTGTGAGAAAAGAAGATAATGAAAAATAATTCGTCTTGTCAATTGGATTCCAAAGTAATTGAATCAGCCTATGTGGACTTTTGACAAGAAAAGAGAATCATTTAGAGTTTTAGATACAACTGTGATATCCATAGTGTCAAGAATTTGTGTACATAGTTTGACTTGTTTTGAATAGATTATTTTAAAACAAGTGGATTGTGTGCTGTCTGTTTATTGCTCGAATTTACTGCTAACAAGTCAGAGACACCTACTGTAGAAGAATTCTTATCCCACATATGCCTGAAAATGATGAAATTATTAAAACAAGATCAGGAAGAACATGACATAAAATGTAAAAGAGCAAGACTCAAACCAAAAGAAAACCAAGAAGGAACTTACAGAAAATTAAAATAGAGACAAGAGGAAAAAATTCAAAAAATAAAAGAAGACCATGAAGAAAGAGACAGGAACTTAAGAGATGAGTTAAAAGAGAGAGACATACTATTTAAGAATAATTAAAATAAAAATAAAACTGATTGAAGACAAGATTGACAAAACTATTAGAGAGGTATAGAAAGATTAAAACAAGTTTGAAGAAGTCCAATGTGACATCAAAGAATTACAAAATGATAAAAACCCTATAATCTGAGAGCTTTTGAAAGGTCCACCTTTCGAAAGCACTCAGATTATAGGGTTTTTATCATTTTGTAAT